TTCCCTTTGTAATTTATACATTTACATTTATTTATTTATTTATTTACCAACTTCTGCACTCTGAAATTGATCAGGATTGCAATCAAGAGGCATTGATAATCACTTGTGATTGGACTGCAAAAGTTGGAAACGAAGAAGAGAGATCAGTAGTTGGAAAATATGGCCTTCATGATAGAAATGACATTGGCGGTCATGTAAGAGAATTTTCCAAGACCAATGACTTAATTAATTGTTTCCAAGACCAGTGACTTAATTAATTATCGGCACAGCTAGGAAGTGGGAAGATGGGCTAGGAACAACTAAGGGAGATGAACTTGTCCATCGTTTGTCATCCTGTGGTGGCTTGCATGTTGCTGTGAGGCTGGAGGCTATACCACTGGTGTTGCAAAATGCCAGCAGTGTCACTCACAGTGGACAGCTTTTAGCGGAGCTTCCAGACTAAGACAGACTCAGAAGAAGGAAGAGACCATCCACTTCTCAAAGAATTAGCCAATGAAAACCTTCTGAATAGCAGTGAAACACTGTCTGATATATTACAGGACAACTTTATGAATAACCCTGAAACACTGTCCAATATAGTGGCAGATGATGAGCCCATCAGGTTGGAAGTCACTCAAAACAGGACTGGGGAAGAGCCGACTCTTCAGAGTAGAGATGACCGTAATGGTATGGATGGAATAAATCTTTCAGGACCTCCATTGGCTGATGTGGAACAACTCAAATGAGTAGAAACAGCTGCAAATATCCATTAATAATCAGAACATGGAATGTACAAAGTATGAATCTAGGAAAACTGCAAATTATCAAAAATGAAATGAAGCACATAAAGATCGATATCCTAGGCATTAGTGAGTCAAAATGGACTGGATGCTGCACTGGAGGCACTCACTTGGCTATGCCAAGATATTTGGAAGAAAGGTACCTCACGGACTAACTGGGGGAGATCCATATTTGTACCCTTTTCAAAGAAAGGTGATCCCACAGAATGTGGACATTATTGAACAATATTATCATTAACATCACATGCAAGTAAAATCACTGAACAGAATTAAAAAATGGTTGCAGCAGTATATTGACAGAGAGCCTCCAGAAATGCAAGCTGATTCAGAAGAGGATGTGGAACGAAGGATATCATTGCTGTTGTCAGATGGATCTTAGCTGAAAGCAAAGAATTCCAAAAAGATATTTACTTATGTTTTATTGACTATGCTAAAGCATTTGATTGTGTGGATCATAATAAATTATGGATAACATTGAGAAGAATGGGAATTCCAGAACACTTAATTGTGCTCATGAGGAACCTGTACATAGATCAGGAGGCTGTCATTCATACAGAACAAGGGGATACCGAAGCGTTTAAAATCAGGAAGAGAGTGTGCATCAGGGTTGTATCCTTTCACCATACTTACTCAATTTGTATGCTGAGCAGATAATCCGAGAAGTTGTATTATATGAAGAATAACATCACATCAAGATTGGAGGAAGATTCATTAACAACTTGTGATATGGAGATGACATAACATCCTTGCTGAAAGTGAGGATGACTTGAAGTACTTAGTGATGAAGATTAAAGACTTCAGTCTTCAGTATGGGTTACATCTCCATATAAAAAAAACAAAATCCTCACAACTGCTCTAATAAACAGCTTCACGATGGATAGAGAAAAGATTGAAGTTGTTAAGGACTTAATATTACTTGGTTCTACAACCAACACCAATGGAAGCAGCAGTCAAGACATCAGATGACGTATTGCATTGGGCAAATCTACTGCAAAACACCTCTTTCAAGGGAAGAGCAAAGATGTCTCCTTGAAGACTAAGGTGCACCTAACCCAAGCCATAGTATTTTCAATTACCTCATATGCATGTGAGAGCTGAACAATGAATAAGGAAGACCAAAGAAGAGTTCATGCTTTTGAGTTGTGGTGTTGGAGAAGAATACTAAGAGTACCATGGACTGTTACAAGCACTAAAAATTTGTATTGGAAGAAGTGCAACCTGAATGCTCCTTAGAAGTGAGAATGGCCAGACTTCATCTCACCTATTTTGGTCATGTTGTCAGGAAGAACTATTTGCTGGAGAAAGATAACAAGCTTGGTAAAGTGGAGGGTCAACAAAGAAGGGGAAGGCCCTCAATGAGATGGATTGGCACAGTGGCTGCAATGGTGGGCTCAGGTATAGCAAGGATTGTGAGGCTGGAGCAGGACCAGGCAGTATTTCATTCTGGTTGCTGTGCATAGGGTTGCTATGAGTTAGAGATGACTTGACTACACCTAACAACAACAACGATGATGACTTAGTATTGCAAATACCTTTTTGCAACAACATAAATGATGACTATACACATTCACCTCACCAGATAAACAAATATCACATTGACTACATCCATGGAAAAAGACAATGGAGAAACTCAATATCATCAGTCAAAACAAGACCAGGGGCCAACTTCAAAACAAAGCATCAGTTGCTTATATGCAAGTTCAAGCTGAAGCTGAAGAAAGTTAGAACAAGTCCACAGGAGCCAAAGTATGAACTTGAGTAATTCACACCTCAGTTTAGAGACCATCTGAAGAATAGATTTGACACATAGTACACTGTCGTGGTTATGTTTGTGTGTCAACTTGGCTGGGCCTGTTCGTGTGGCTGGGCAGCTGAGTGTAGTATTCCCCATGGAGTAATTAACTCCATTGTGGAATCTATTAGAGCAGTTGAGTAGCTGCTTTGGGCATGTGGTTTGCTTCCCATATATAAAAACAGCTTTGAGAATGGTCTCTAGCTTATGGCACACTTGAATCCTGCATATAGCCATGTCATTGTTCAGCAGCCTGCCATGCTCTGCTGACCTTGGGATTTTCTATGGAATTGAATTAATGGCCTGCTGTGTGTTTTGGTAACATCAGGACTCTGCCATTTTATTTGTCGACCTTGAGTTTGTTAGCCTCAGTAGCCAGTAGCTGGCTGACTGAAGAGATGCCTCCAGCTTCAGTGGGCCATGAGCAAGAGGCAGAGCTGAAGCCCAAGGTCGAGGGGCTTTCACACAGCCCCTAGAGCCTGGCACTTTGAACTTGGACTTCTAGCCTCCCGAACTGTAAGAGAATAAACTCCTGTTTGTTCAAGCCATCCCATTTGTGGTATATTTCTTGTCAGTGCTGCACTAGATAATCAGAACATACGCTAATGATTGAATATCCAGTGAGTTGTGGGATGACATCAAAAACATCATACTTGAGAAAGCAAAAGGTCATTAGAAAGATCAGACAGATAGAAAAGACCAAAATGTATGTCAGAAGAGACTCTGAAACTTGCTCTTGAATGAAGAGTAGCTATAGTGAATAGAAGAAAAGATGAATTAGAAGAGCTGAACAGAAGGGCAGGTCATGAAGACAAAGTAAAGTATTACAATGAAATGTGCAAAGACCTGGAGTTAAATAACCAAAAGGGAAGAACACACTTGGCATTTCTCAAGCTGAGAGAATTGAAGAATTGAAGAAAAAATTCAAACTTTGAGTTGCAATAAGTGGTGTAGTGCCTAAGGCTAAGTGCCTACCTAAGTGCTAACCAGAAGGCTGACAGTTCATACCCATCAGCCACTCCTTGGAAGGAAGACTGGGCTATCTACTGTTTGATGTTTAGCCTTCTTTATAGGAAGTGACATATGATCAAGAACCAATGATACTGAGAGAGGAAAAAGTCCAAGCTACATTGAAGATGTTTGCAAAAAAGAAGCCTCCAGGAATTGACAGGGTTTTTTTTTTTTTTTTTTTTTTAAGACTATCCTGTTTCTCCTCACACTTTGAGCATTCACTGATTTTAGCTTCCTTTTGTAGAGTTTGTCTGCAACAAATATTACTGTAGTGTTTGTATAATGGTAATTTTGTATTTCATTTTTTGTGTAATCATTAATTGCAATTCTTCTGTAAGGAAGAGCTGTCCCTATTTACTTACTTACTTAGCTATTTATTTATTTATATTTGTCTGTGAGTATAGAAAGTAGTATGGACTCATGTATGTTATTTGAGTGCTTTGTAATCCAGTACTAGCATTGTTTATTTTGTTTCTTAAATTGTTCTGGCTTTGACCACTGGAAGCTCTTTCTGATTGGCTTCTTGACCTTTCAATAAGGCCCACTCACTGTTTGAGCATTTTCTTATTTCTGGCACTAAAAAATTGTTCACTTGACCACTTGTCTTATATTTTCCCTACCTTGTTCCTGAAAACGGCCACCTCTCCAAGAATACTTCATTTATGTTATTGGAGAACAGTATGTAGAAACCAATATCTAGGTGCTAGCGCAAGGACAAGGAGCCAATTATCTAGTTTGTAGCATCAGAGAAGGCTTCTCTCAGATGTCTGAGATGACACTTAAAGAATAACTGGTATTGTTAGTCAAAGAGCAGGAATAGTTTCCCATGAGAGAAGAGTTTCTGTAAAGGCTCTGAGATCTTTGAGAAGTTGGAAGATAGGTTGTTGTTGTTGTTGTTGTCATGTGCCGTCGAGTCGGACCCGACTCATAGCGACCCCTCCTTGGCTTTCCAAGGTGGTATCACTACAGAAGTAGATTGCCCCATCTTCCTTCCGAGGAGTGACTGGTGGGTTTGAACTTCCAGCCTTCTGGTTAGCAGTCAGATGCCTTAGGCACTACGCCACCAAAGCTTCTGAAATGCACACAAGGCTAATGTTAATATTGTAGCAATTCCCCTCACCTACCATCCAGTGTTTGACATTTCAGTTAATCAGACTACTTCCTGGGTACTGTCTCACTTAATATTCATAATTAAATCATTTGATAAGGATCATTTGTTTTACCTTTAAGACGTGAGAGACCTGGGAGAGATTAAGTGATTTACCCAAAGGAAGAGCCTTTTCTTCTTTCCATTCTTCCTTCTTTCCTCTCTCCTTCCCTCCTTCCTTTCTTCCTCCCATCTAAAAAGAACAATAAGGGACTTATTACAAAATTGTCATCTTGATTGAATTTAAAATTAAATATTTTTTTTCTCCTAGAATTTTTTCAGCAGATAATTCAGTATTCTGAAGAATACCGACATATGCCACTGCTGAAACTCTGGATCGGACCAGTGCCAATGGTGGCCCTTTATAATGCAGAAAATGTAGAGGTGGGTAAATAGGACCAATATTTGACTGGATTTTTGGTGGTGTGAATATCTCATTGGATAACTATTAAAAAATGTGTCCTTTTACTTAAATGAATTCAGTACATAGAGTATTCCATTAAATATTTTAGGCTATGTACATGCCATGAAGTGCTTTCCATATAGTTTGAATCCTGGGGATGATAACACTTCCAGATATCTGTGCACATTTATTATCAGGTCCCAGTGTATTTGTTTGCCTTTGGAAAGTCTGCAGAAGGATGTAGTTTTATAAAACCATAAATAATCCATAATTAGATGATTCTGCAAAGTGAAAACATGCTATCTTCCAAGCACTGTTTAAAACTCCCAAAATATAAGATTATTAAGATGTGGTTTGATACAGTGGCTACAACAGTGGGCTCAAACATAGCAATAATTGTGAGAATGATGTAGGACTGTTGATGTTCTGTTGCATGTAGGGTCACTATGAATTGTAACTAACTGGTGGACCCTAACATAAACAACAAGACATGGGTGTTTCCCTCAAGGTACCCAGGGTCTCATACCCATTATAAATTTATTATTACAAATTAATTTTGCCTAGAGGACAACCCTAATCTGATATCAAGCCAGATTCTGAAGAGGACATAGAGCAAGGGATATCATTGCTGATGTCAGATGGATCTTGGCTAAACTCAAAGAATACTAGAAAGAAGTTGACCTATGTTTTATTGACTATGCAAAGGCATTCGACTGTGTAGATCATAACAAGCTAGATGTTATGTTCTAATGCTGGGGCGTGTTTTGTGCTCAGTCCTTGATGGTGGTCCCATCAACACTCATGGCACCCAGTTGTATCTATATGCTGGACACACTCACATTTTTATCTCCAGCTCATATCTTATCCTCAGTTCCATTCTACTTTCAAATCATGTCATCTGGAATTTCTCAAAATCAACAAAGCTGAAAATGAACTTATGATTTCCATCCCCCCACATGTGATCATCTTCAGATTCACCTCCACTCACTAACTGGCTGTTTCCAGTTTGAGGAAGCAGCCTGGAAACTATTCTCGACATTTTCTGTTCCCATATTTTCATTTTGTCCCCAAGACAGAATGACAGTTTTATGTTCAAAAACTCTAATTGAATCCCTTTTAGATTCAGGAATAAAAATCAATCTCAGAGAATATGTTGTTGTTGTTGTTTGCCGAATATAATGTCTTCAAATTCATTAAGCACGTTTTACATTAAAATGTAGTTGTATTCTAGCCTGATACTCTTATAACTAAGTTGTAAGGTTCCCCCCACCCCGTTATTATTATTTATTTATGGTAAAAAAAAATTGTGTTTTCTATTTCTAAGGTAATTTTAACTAGTTCAAAGCAAATTGACAAATCATCTATGTACAAGTTCCTAGAACCATGGCTTGGCCAAGGACTTCTTACAAGGTATGCCAACATAAGTTTGTAAAACCGTCTCTTGGAAATAGTTGTCATTTGTAACCAGGTGGAGATGACACAAGTGCCTTTCCTGTAGCAAGACTGTGCTAGGTAGAAATAGGGGAGAAGTTGGAAGGAGAGGTCTGGCTAACAGTGGAGATTTGACAGGGAGTTTGAAAAGCAGGAGTCTAGGATTTTTGGTAATCTGCATTCTCCAGGTTCAAAATGATTTCTACCAGTGTTCAGAATTAGGAAATCCTGATATATTAGTGGATCAAAGCAAAGGAGAGTTTGAAGCTGGAACATCTTGAAAATACAAACAAAAAGACAGTTAGCAACAAAGAAGTATCTTGAGCACAGTCCTTGAACTGGCATCCAAAAATAGGTGCCTGTCCTTTGGGAGAAGGTTAGCAAGAGAAAAACCAGGGCCCTTGTAGGGAATTTGGAGAACTCCAGCTTGATGGAGGTAAAAGTAGAACCACGGAGTTGGTTGGTCATGATTTATGTTGTTAGAAACTTATGCACTTAAAATCATTAGTTGTTATGAATGCTGTGTTTAATATTAGTCATAGGAAACAAAGTAGAAGATATCTACATTCTATAACTATTTATGAATATTGTGTGTGGTTCTTTTGACATTCTGAGCAAAACATTTGCGAATCTTTAGGGTAAGCTGTTTCAGGAGGATTTTGTTGATTTGGCTATGCTTTGCTTGCTGGTTTTATTTATTTACTTATAACCATGTATTTTATTTCTAGTACTGGAAACAAATGGCGCACCAGAAGAAAAATGTTAACACCCACCTTCCATTTTACAATTCTAGAAGATTTCTTAGCTGTTATGAATGAACAAGGAAATATATTGGTTAATAAGCTTGAAAAACATGTTAACCAAGAAGCATTTAACTGTTTTTTTTACATCACTCTCTGTGCCTTAGATATAATCTGTGGTAAGTCTCATTGGTTTGTTTAAGGTTATGGTGTAAAGATATAATGGCCCAAATAGACCAAAAAAAAAAAAACCATTCCACTGGGAAGGCAAATGAAGAGCCACTGGATTTCTGGATTCTTTAGGTGGCCCCACTGCTAAATTAGAATCCCTAGAAGCAAGAGGGGTAAGGGGAGAGTCCCAGAACCAAAGTGCTAGGAAAGTCAAAGGGAAGAACGAACGAAAACAAGGAGTTGAAAAGTAGAAGGGAAAACAGAAGAGGAAAATGAGGGGAAGAACTATTCTAAAGTATATACAAACAGAGTAGAATTCCTGTCTTTTTAATAGCATCTGCGACTGCAAAGTAAGTACAAGATATGTGCATGAATCAAATCAATCCCTCTCACCCATATTTTGTAGAAACAGCTATGGGGAAGAATATCGGTGCTCAAAATAATGGGGATTCTGACTATGTCCGTGCAGTTTATAGGTAAATAAAGTCCTTTTACTTATTTTTTTTCCTTTTACTTATTTTTAAGAATTGTTACTAATTTGAGCTTTAAAAAGTTGCTAATAATTTTTGTCTGGGTTGTGTCTTTTTTTATTGCTTCAAATGAAACATTGTATTAAATTTAGGCTATTCAGGCATGTATTTTAACAGTACAATAATAGAATTGTTATGTAAATTAAGTACACATCCACAGTGTAATGTTATTTAAAATGATTATTTCATAATACATTAAGAAGTATTTATGTTATGTTGCTAAGTGAGAAAATGAAAATATAAACAACTGTATGCAATCTAATAAAACTACTAAGTATAAAAAATATGCATAGAGAAAAGACTGGAAGATACTTTATTAAAATGTTAGCTGTAATTATTGTTTTGTGTATGCTTTTTTTTATTGTGTTTTGTTTGTCTTTTATTCTACTTTCCCATATTTTATATACTAAGTATATGTGGTTTTGTTGTTGTTATGTGCTGTCGAGTCAGACCCGACTCATAGCGAGCCCTCCTTGGGTTTCCGAGGCAGTATCACTATGGAAGTAGATTGCCCCATCTTCCTTCTGAGGAGTGGCTGGTGGGTTTGAACAGCCAGCCTTCTGGTTAGCAGCCAAGTGCCTTAGGCACTATGCTACCAGAGGTCCTATGTGGTTTTGTAGTGGTACATAAAACAGACAGAATAATGTGGGAGACAGACAGTGACCAATTAATAAACATTTCTAAATTATGAATGATAATTGCTCGGAGGGTGAAGATCATTTTGGTATAAGAGACAAAATCAGGACTAAGTCTTGGCAGATTTTGTGGCCTGGAAAAGCCTTTCTGAAGAAGTTGCATCTAAGCTGGTGCTGAGAAAGATGATGCAGAGGTCTTTCTGCTGCATTAGTGGCAATAATGAGGGAAGGGCTAAGGACAGCCAAGAGACATATTTATCTTTAATGAACACTTTCCTGTAGCAGAGGGCAGCCAGTTGTTTTCTGTCACTCCAGGAGAGTGTGACCAAAACAAATGAGTAGACAATACAAACAAGTAAATAAGTCAATCACAGATGGACAGATATTGAAATACTGATTTCTAATATGATTTCACAAATATTGATTTCACTAGTATGAAGTACCTACAATAGACAAATATATAGAGATCTGAGTTTAATTGTGGTTACCTAGGGTGGCCGTGATGGAGAAAGAGGGATATCATTCCTTAGGCAGCATGAAATTTTTGTTAATGAGTATGGGAAATTTCATAACAGGTATTGGTGATGGTTGCACAAGAAGACTGGTGTAATTGATCTCATTGAATTGTATACAAGAAAAATGTTGAATTGGCAAATGTTGTGTTATCCATATTTTTACAATAACAAAAAGAAGTAAATTTCATCTCTACCTGTAGTCTAAGAGCCCAGAAGGGTTGGATGGTCTCATTGAAGAAACAGAAGCAGAGTTCAGATTGCCAGCTAGTAAGAATATTTTTAAAAGGATTCTTCATTCTTTTAAAGATCCTTTTTTATCATAAATAAAAGGACCAGGTTTTCTGGTTTGATAGAGCCTGGTGAAACCCCTGAGACTATGGCCCCTAGCTGCCCTTCAAGTCTGGAATTAAACCCATTCCTGTGGCTTCCAGCCAACCAAAAGACAGGCATATCAGGTGAATATTTACATTAGATAGATACACTCCTTGGAGAGATCAATCGTGGTAGAATAAAAGGGCTGTGTATGCACAGGAAGACAGCTCAGGGGGCAGGAGTGCAGGAGAGGGAAGGACACAGGGAAGAGATAACCATGGGGAGGAAGTGGGGGGAGCTTGTGGCACTGTGGTCAGTTGGAGTCAATGTCATGAGACAAAGTGTATGTGAACTTCTGTATGAAAGATGAATTTACTATGTAAACTTTCACCTAAATCACAGCAAAAATTAAAAAAAAAAAGAGATCACCTTTTAATTGTTTATTTTTTAAGTTTCACTGGATAAGAAATAGCGCATGCCCTCGTTGTTGAGCATAAAGCATGGAGCTCCTAGTAACCTCTAAGACTCATCATCATCACTTATATATTATCTTTATTGAAATCAGGTATCAAATAGTATGTGCTCAGAAGTATACATTTTTTTTTTAATCTAACAGCTAATGTACTTTTATCCTATTTATAGGATGAGTGACCTTACACTTAGAAGAATAAAGATGCCCTGGCTTTGGTTTGACTTTTGGTACCTTATGTTTAAAGAAGGAAGGGAACACAAAAGGAGCCTTAAGATCCTACATACTTTTACCAAAAATGTAAGTCCATGATTTTTATGCTTTGTTAACATACCCTGTTGTGTTAGATTGGGTTCCCTAGAGAAACACAAAAACCAGGAAAGTGTATATATATATTTATAGAGAGAGAAAGAGAGAAATTTATCTTAGGAAAATGGCTCGCAAGCGTATAGAAGCCGGCAAGTCCAAGTCTCTGGAGGAAACAGGCTGGCGGCAGCCTTAGCTTCCGTAAGCACAGGGGGCTGAGAAATTCAAGGCTGGAAGGCAGTACATTGGTTGTTGACTCCAACAAAGGACGAATCCAAGATCTCCAGGCCGAGCGGTGGGCTGCTCACTCACAGAAGTTTGTAGTCCGCACACCAGGGTTCCAATCCCTCAAAGAACTTGTCTCTTCCCAGGATGTCCCTGGATATCTTGGAAGCAGGCCACACCCCAAGGGAAACTCCCCTTGGGCAGACTGGCCACTCAGAACACAGTCATCTGATCCCATCATGGGAACA